GAGGGGGGGGGAGGGGCCTAAGGCCCCTCCCCCACCCCACCCATTTGGGCTCCATGGCTGCAAGAGGCACAACCACCTCGTCCTGCCCCATCCCGGGGAGCCACCATCTCCCTGTCCCAGAGGGCTACAGCTCCACCCCAGGTGGCACCGTCTACTCTACCACGCCAGGGGGTAAGGCCCAGCATGGGGATGGGGTTGTCCCTCGAGTGGAACAGTGGCCTCAGCTGCCTCAGCCTGGCCAAATTTAGGCAGTCCCTTCCTGAGCTCTCTGTTTGGGCATAGGTGTCTGCTCTGGGTGCCAGGTACAGGCAGGTCTGTGGGGTGGTGGCTTCCCTGGCAGTCCAGAGCTGGAGTGGAAAGGGGAACCCCAAATACTGCTGGAAGTTAGGGCTGTTGTCTCCCCGTGGTGCCTGGGGGTGCGGGTGGAGGGCAGCGGGCTGCTGGCAGCGCTGCCGGGCGCAGCACTGGTCCCTCGGGGCAGGCACTGCCCAGGCAGGGCTGGCTGGAGCTGGGGGAGGTGTGGGAGTAGCACAAGGAGTCTGCTCCTGCCCAAGCTCCCCAGCCCTGGGGGAAGGTACTGGGTGGTGTAGCTCCCTCCAGGGATACCCTAGGCCTACCCTCTTGCCCCCCCTCCAACCCCCTGCCAAAGCCCCTGGTTCAGCTGTTGAGCAGGTCCTTTTCTCCCCCGTGTGTCCTCCAGATAGCACCTGCCCCGTCCCTGAGCTGGGCATGTTTGGGCTGAGCGGCAGGCACCCGCTCTATGGGCGCTAGCTAATTGTGTGTCTCCGATAAGCTTATCTGGGGCCGGCGCCAGGCTCAGGGCTGGCGGGGTGGTGGCAGGCGCAGTGCAGGTTGTGTAACGTGTTTGCGTGCTGGGAAGGGCCCAGCCCGCGCAGAGGCTCTGGGCTTGCTGCTGCCTGGTGCTGGGCTTGCTGCTGGAGCCTGGCAGGGAATCTGGTGCTGGGCCTCAGGGTCAGCCGGGCAGGGGGAGGCAGCTCTATCTTAGACCTGTTGCAGGGCGGCAGCCGTGGCACACAGGCACTGCCCAGGGGCTGTGCACCCAGCGGCTAGCGCCCTGCAGCCAGTGTCCCCTCAAACCCAGGGCGTTGTCCTCGGGCAGGGCACAGCAGGGTCGCTTGCTGGCCAAGGTGCTGGGTGCAGCTCCCTGTGGTGCCAGCAGGGTGGGCACCCGGCATTTGCTGTTTGAGAGCTGCAGGGAGCCACCCCCGAGCCAGCCACCTCTGGGCAGGGTCTGCTGCGGACCTGCCTGCTGCCTGCCTGTGGGGATTGGGCTGTGGCCAAGTGCCCCAGGGCTGGCCTGGCCCCCCGGGCAGCACAGGTAGCTGCAGTGTCAGCTGCCACAGGGCACTTGCAGCACACTGACCCCCCTGCCCTGTGCCCTGGCAGAGCTACAGGAGCCTTGGGAGGAGGAACTGTGGGGGGAAGAGCTGCTGGGCAGGATGGGTGTCACAGTCTGCCCTGTGGGAAGCCCCACAGTGGCTCCAGAGCCAGCTGTGTCACTGAGCTGTGTCCCAGCACTGGGTGCCACCCCTGCTCTGGGCGCTCTGGCCGTGGTGCTTGAAGATGGGGGTGGCCAGGGGCTGGCGGTGCCTGAGAGCCCCCCACTTTTGGCAGGTACCCGCATCATCTACGACCGCAAGTTCCTGCTGGAGTGCAAGAATTCACCCGTGGCCAGGACCCCTCCCTGCTGCCTGCCCCAGATCCCCGGTGTCACATCCCTGGCCCAGTCCAGCCTCGTCAAGCTGGAGGAGCTCAAGGAGCGGAATGAGAGTGAAGAAGCCATGCCAGGTAAGCAGCCTGGGCACACAGCCCCTGGCTACACACTACTCAGGGCGTGGAGCTCCTGCCTGACTGCACAGGCAAGGGGAGACCCCGGTTCCAGCTTCTGCCCCCTTTGCCTGCATGTTTTTCTCAAGGCAGCCCTGTCCTAATGCTGGCCCTTTACCATTGCAGATCAAGACCAGTTTGAGATGGACATCTGAGTTTCCAGCTCCCTGTCTGCAGGCTGTGGCTGGGCCTGTTCCTGGGCCTCGTGGAGGTGCTGGCACCATGACCAGCTGGCTGCAGCCCTCTCTGATGCTGGGGATGGACGTGTGACACCTCAGGCTCTAGCACAACTGGCTGGTGCAATTGCCTAGGAGCTCATGCTTGATCAATAAACACCATGAAACCCCTGTGCTGATGTGGTGTTGTCTCTGTTAAGGCTCAGCTGGGTCCTCATAGGTGAGCTGAGAGCCAAGCAGCACCAGGAGCCCTTGGGTGAGTGCAGAGGATTCTGCCTCCTGCACCAAGGCCCTGTAGGCTGGGGGCAGGTGAGGACAGGCCCTCAGGCTGGGGG